TCCCTAGAAAAAATTCCTCTAAAAATCTTAATCATCTCATCAAGCACACACTTACGAATTTTAAATAGAGACATATAAAAAATAAGGAGTGCAGAAAGTTTCTTCTTTCTCTCTAAACCCACCATCCCTAGAAACAATTCCTCTAAAAATCTTAATCATCTCATCAAGCACACACTTACGAATTTTAAATAGAGACATATAAAAAATAAGGAGTGCAGAAAGTTTCAGCCCCCTTTAACCATCCTTCTGAAACATTAAACCCATACCCATCACTATTACAAAAATTAATTTTCAACCCAGAAATCAATTCAAACCAGCGCAAGATCGACTTCAATACTCTTAAATTCTCTATTGTATATATCACTCAAGAGGAGAGCATGGATACATAGTAGCTAAAAATGTAAAATGCTATGAAGCCATAACAAAAAATAAAATTAAAAAATAACTTCATATATATACATACAATGGAAGAGATGGATGAGATGAGCTTTCTCTTTTTTGATCAGCAGATGATCGAGATGAGCTTCCTCGAGTGTAGTTTAAACAATATATGCTACTTAGGATTCAACTCTTTCCGCGATTGACGAAAAAACAAGACACGGTTTCGCGGTTTCAATTCACCTTCATATTTTTTATTTCCATTATTGTCCACACAATGTCGTATATTTTACCTTTTGTAACAAGATGGTCTGCTGTTGTTCACAAGGTTATTTTCGCTTTTTTAGCTTTTGGGTCTTTCGGTTCAATTCAACCACCTACTCTTATTTTCACCAAAAAAAAAAAAAAGCACCTAGTCTTATATTTTTTGGGTACATAGGACCTAGTCTTTTATATATATATATATTTGAACAATGGGCGGCTCAAATCCGCCCAAGGAAATGGACGCATCAATGTGGCCAAAGGCCACTTGTTTGGCCATTCGGGCCAAGTGCGGACCTAGTCTTATATTAATTATAAAAAAAGAAAAGAAAAAAAAAGAGCAAATGTTAGCCTTTCCAATTATTTCGACTAGAAAATTGATATGGAGAGACTCCAGTAAATTAAATGAAGGCAAAACGAAAATCCCCTTTAGGATACTTGTTAGTATATTTTTTAGCTGGATTAAAAACTCTCTCTCATTCCATTGCTTACCCCTTTATTTTATTTTTACTTAAATTTAGAATTTTATGTTTTATTTAGAGAATAAATTATTATTAAATTATTTAAATGTTGGCCCAATTTGCAACTAAAACCTGTCCCACTCAACTTTAATTGAACTATTTCTTGTTTGGCTGAAGTGTTTGATAGAGAACCATTCATCAAAAAGGCTTGATTTTTCATTTCTTTATGCTTGATTTCCCTAAACATAAGCTAGAATTACAATTAAGGCTTCTCATCCATTCTGTTCAGTTGAATTTTCTTTTTGCATATGTAAAGGGGAGTACAGGACAACTGGTATATGGGGTCATGCTTGAACGAGCCTAGACCCCAGACCCCAGACGCCAGAGTCTTGTCTTTCTCCGAATTAGTAAGACTATTCCAAGAGGGACTATTTCAGTTAGGTCTGATGAAAAGACTACTTTAATTTTGTTTATGTTTGTTTTTAATCGTTTTATTAAAAAAACACATTGATATTTTGTGAAAATTGTCCTTTAAAAATACTGAGTTAACATTAATAATTGAAGAATAGATAATATTTTTATTTTTTTTTCTTGTTAAACATATGTTAGAATTACAAACAACTGAGAATTTATAATTTTCCTAAAAGTTTAAAAAAGTTAAAGGTAGTAATATAAAGATAATTTTTTATATAATTTTTTTATTCAAAGAGAGAATTTTTTATATTTTTTTATATAATTTTCATATGTTATTGAAGAATTAGATACATTCAATATAACATGTTTTAAATGAATAAAAAAATCAATTATTTAAATGACATGTAAGGTTGTATAAGAAGTTAATATAAAATAATTATTTTTAAATCATTTTTCAAAATTAATTTGCATCAATTAAATTAAACGATTTAAAAATTTACTTACATTATTGAGGTAAGGGATTTAAAAATTCATTTACATTATTTTTAATTTAAGAACTCATGCATTAATTTAAGATAATTTAAAAGTTTCAGAAGAGATATTGCCTTTCTTTCTGCCATTTCTTACTTGAGGAATGGTAGGAGCAATTGCTCCAGCACTCTCCTTCAGCAGTTCGCTAGTCTATTTAGCCACGTCATTGATGATTTTAAAGCCTTAACTAGGAATTGATAATTGTAGGTAACTAATTTATTACTATTAAATATAAAAATTTACTCTTTTATTACTATTAGATTACAATAAATACATATAGTAGTATAATACAATACCCAAATTATATCAATGCCCTCGTAATCATCTTTTTCCTCCTTCCTCAGTATATATAGAATCCCTGCAATTTTGATTTTGTTTTAGTTTTTTTTTTTTTTTAAAATAGAATTCTTACAATTGAAGTTTAAACTTATTTTCTCCTCTCCCTTACGTAAAATAGGAGAAAGTCTTCCGTGCAAGGGGCACCCTGTTAGCCATTTCCTCATCTATTGAAAGCACACACCACGGGGTATTAATTAACACGTCACTTTAAAACAAACTAACAAGAGTTTTAAAGATGAAGTTAAGTCTAATGATGCGTGCAACTAAGGGAGGATAAAAAATGATCAAATTTTTTTTTAAAAAAAACAAAACTTACGACTCGAAAACTCTTCATTCTCCCACTAGATTGCCTTCTTTTCTACCTCCATCTCCATCTCTATCTCTAATGGTGTGGAAGCAAAACGCCTTGGGTACAATCAATTCATGCTTTACTAGTTGTTATGGTTAAGTTGCGTCGTTTTGGAGGCGAGTGGGGGCTCGCTATTAACAATACACTTAGGGTTTACAATTGGCAAGACAAATTATTTAGAGATCTTCTTGTTGAAGCTACAAATTGAAGGTTCAGTGTGGTAGCCAATAAGCAATTTTTTATTTTTGAAATTAATGCTTTGGATAAAGGTATGTAAATTTCTTTTATTTTTTTTAAAAGCAATAGAAATATGGCTTCCAATTTGGTCTTTAAAAATAAAACTATAAATTGCACTAGGCATTTGGTCGAAATAAGCTAATTTTTTTTTTTTTTACATAACATTAAGTTTTAGTGTTTTATTGACATATATTATATATCTGAGTTTATATATTGACATATATTATATATTTGAGTTTATACCTTTTTTAGGACAAACAAAGGACCAAGGGAAATAAAAAAATCCCTCAACTAACAAACCTTGAGTTGGTTCTTGAAGTAAAAAAAATTTTGATTTGTTTCTTAAATTTTTAAATTTGATTTTATGTTAATTATTTTGTACAAAAATAATTAATGTATTTTATTATTAACGTAATATATAACTATCAAATAACAGTATTTTGTAGTTAAAGAAGAAATATAATAACTGTTTTTAACATAATAATCAAATTAGAGTTAAATTTAAAAATTTTAAGACCTAAATCAATAGTTTTTTTAGTTTAAAAAAATCAACTTTAAAAGTTTGTATAATAGTTAAAAGACCAATTAGAGATTTTACGGAATTATTTCTAAGTTCTCTAACATGAATAGGTGTTCTGATGTGTTAAAAGCTTAAAGCTAGCTTGTGGCTTTTTTTAAGTACTGTTGCTACTAATACGAGAATTTGAAAATTTGAGATACTGAGAAGTGACAATTCATTTGTTGTGTCCATCTAGCTTTTTTTTTTTCTTTTTACAAAATGTGATTACTAATTATTACCATTACATACTTATTATAAGGAAAAAGAAAGGAGAATTGAGGATCGAATGTAATATGCTCTAATGTTTCCACTTTAGAAACAAAATATTACTACTCTATCCATCGCGTAAGAAACGTTTCTCCGTTAATGACTCGTTCGCTAAAACTCCGTTGCTCATTAAAGGGGTGCTTGCATAGAAACAATTTTTTATATTATTTTTTATATAATTTTATATATTATTAAATAAATAAATATATTTAATATCATAAATTTTACATAAATTAATAAATTATTTAAACAATATAAAAATTATATAAATAATAATATAAAAATATTATTTGTAAACCATTTTGTTCGTTAAAACGTCAATTAGTTTGTTTTTAAGTGATGACGCCGTAATACCACGTGGCGTGTTTTTAGTGGATAGGGACACGGCTGACGTGGTTCGTGGTGCTCCGTTGTAGTGAAGACCTTCTCATAAACTAGAACACCACTCCTCTTCTCCCCTGTTGAAACCAGAGCCAGGACCGGCTCTCTGTCCTCTGTTTGTATCAGACTTTCTCTCCTTCTCCTCCTTCTACATTAGATTTGGTTGCAAAATCACACTAGGTTGAGCAAGGAACCCAGATCTATATGTATTTTCGCTCCTTTTGTGGGTATTTTTGAGAGAGAACCGATAATGGGAAAAAAAGGAAGAAATTTGAGAACCCAAATCTGGATCTATCTTTGTGCCACTCTTCTTTTCTCTTTCTCTGTTTTATTTCCCATTCGTTGTCATTTTCTTCCTATCTCTTCTGTTTCTTTGTTGGCTGCGTCAGGCTTGGCTGTTTGGGCACGGGATGTTTTGTGTGGCCGTCGTCGGTGTTGGTAGAAGGGGTGGGTTCCTTCTATGCTGTGAAGATTATGAGGACAAATTTGTAGAGGAATGTGTGGCATAAGTTTGTGTTGTCAGTTTTTCACTACTCTATAACCATGGCGAGGAAGATGCTAAACGAAGGAGACACTCATTATGACTTTGACTTATTTATGATTGGAGCCGGAAGTGGTAGCGTTCGTGCTGCTAGATTTTCAGCAAATTTTGGAGTTAAAGTATGCTGCATTATCTAGACCATTGGTGCTGCTTAAAATTATTGAAAAACTTGTTCTGATACTTTGTATGTTCTGTTTTGTTTGTACTGGCATATCATAACAAATTTGTAGTTGGAGATGTTTCTTAGTGGCTTCAAGGATATAGATAATGATTACCTCGAATGTTACTAGATATGAAATGAGGCTCAATAACATTTGTGGAAGTATTAGAAGATTAGATTCCATTGATGTAGAAAATCTGTAGAAGCATCACAAGATTAGCTTCCATTGATATATCTCTTGTGTGCCACAGAGATTTTGATGATGAAATGAGGGCAGTGGTTGCAAGAAATCTGGAAGGAAGGGGTACTAATCTGCATCCAAGGACAAATTTGTGAGAGGTACCATTTTACTTGCCTTGCTTTTTTACTTCCCTGCAATATCTAAGTTTGCAACTTTTCTTATCTTTTGTTTATTTATTTACACAGACTTATACTAGACGTAATATGTATGAATTCAATTGATTAAAGCAGAGGGTGGCATTAAAGTTATTACTGATCACGGTGAAGAATTGGTGGCAGATGTAGTGCTCTTTGCCACTGGTAATTACCATCCCCTTTTCGTGTTCCAGAGCAATTCTCTTTTCTTCTTATCTGTCCATGTCATTCAGTTCATCCATTTAAGATTATTTTATTATGCTGTTGCATTTGATAGTGATGTATGATAAAGCCATTCATTTTTGTGAACTAGATGTTTGGCATGTCCATGTTATGAATGTTTCACCTTATGTACAGGCAGGATTCAAGATACAAAGAGGTTGAATTTTGGAGCTGTGGGGGTTGAACTTGATCAGACAGGAGCTATTAAGGTTACTGACAATTATTTGTTTCTTATTTTTTAACATTCTGTTAATTTCTTTAGGAAATGGGTGGACATACACTCACTTCATTATCTATAAATGATGCTGTTTAAAAGTTGTTGATTTCATTGATTAAATTTCACAAACAGAATGAGTTCTGATATTCTGCTTTGTTCCTTTCAAAATGTTCATAAGTGGTTTGATTGTTTCTGGATAGGGGCACGGAAACTTAATATGATTCTCTCTTATTCTTTTAAAAAGAAATAGTGGCTATAAAATGACTTTAGGCTAAAATTTTTTACAGGCCTTTATCTTTTTAATGTTGATGGTTTTACCTTTTGTATCAGCTCAAGTTAAAATTGCAATCTATATGGAAAGATTTTATACAACATGGAAGATGATTGCATTACTGAGACTGATTCTCCCTTTATTTTGCAGGTGGATGACTACTCACACACCAACATATCCAGTGTATGGGCAGTTGGTGATGTTGATGTTGCAAATAGATTGAATCTTACACCTGTAGGATTAATGGAGGGAACCTGCCTTGCCTTTTTTATTCTGTTTGGAGCTCCTATATTTCTCTGTATTAAATGTTATATGGTTGTTTAATATTTGATGCATTTAACAATCTCAAATGCATTGCCTGTAGAAAACTATGTTTGGTGGACAACCCAGCAAACCAGACTACAACAACATACCCTGTGCTGTTTTTAGGTAATGTTTGTATGGTTTGGAGCATGCCTCTCATTTTATTTGATTATTGATAATTTCACAAAACAAGAGCAAAATATATATTTCTCAGTTCTAATGATTGCAAGAAATCCAAGTATTCATTGTTCTTTATATTTGGTGGTAGCAATTTTTATCATAATTTTCTAAGGGATATATATAATTATTACATGATGCCCCTCTGATATAAAATGAAGTTCATCGACTGTAATGAACAGTTGCCCCACCTGATTTAGGCAACTGCCATTTGGGTTCTCTATGTTGAAAGTACATATTAGCCGTATTGCTTTTTCTGCTCAGAATGCAATCTGTTCGGAAAGTTTTCTTTTCCACTTTCATAAGCATCAGATGACTGATTTGTTGTTTTGCTGCATAGCACCACTTTCTGTTGTTGGTCTTAGTGAAGAATGAGCAATAGAGCAGGCAAATGGTGATATTCTGGTTTTCACATCATCCTTCAATCCAAGGAAGAATACAATTTATTCTAGTTGGGTTAATTCCTCTTGCCGGTGGCTAGGGTTTCTCCTACTTGATGGGTAAGAACCTCACTTTGGCACATCTCCTTGGTAGAAGGGCCTTCCTCTTTCGTCTTCTTTTTTCAATTCTCCTTTCCTATGGCTCAGTGTAGAATTTTGGATTGGGGCAGAGGGTTGGCAATGCCCTTTTTCTTTCTTCTATTTGGTTTTTGTAGGATGGGATCCAGCTGGTGGTCAGGCTAGGAGTGACTGGTTCACGCTAGATTCAATCGGGCTGTGCCTGGAGGATCATAGGTGGCTTCTGGTGCAGAGGGACAAGTGTACATGCTGCACAATTGGGGTTTGTTGCCATCAGAGGGGCAGTGGATTTGTTTTGGGGTTACTGGTCTAGAACAGCCCTTGACAAGGCAAAACAGTGCTGGTTTGAGTTGTTGGTTTATTGGTTGGTGAATACCATCTGGCTGGGGGGTTGGGTATCAGGCATGTGGTGGATCTTGGCTATGGATGAAAGGTGGGAGGTCTTGTGCCTAATGGAATATTGTGGTGGCAATTTACCAGAAGAGCCAAATATGGTTGCTATAAATGGCTATCAATGGCAGCCACATAGAGGAAGGAAGGGATTTTGTTGGTGAAACTGGCTGTATGCTGCAAGGGAAGGATGGTATTCAAGCCAGCAAAGGGGCTCTAGTGGAGTTTGGCAACAAAGGCTTAAAGGAGACTGGAAGAGATGGGAACAAGGTTGAGAGCATATGGAGATGAATGGAACGTGGTACTGAGGCCTTATTGAGCAAGATAGAGAATACCCATGGTCAAAGGAAGATTAGTTCTGATCCTACTGAGAATGAAAGAACACAAATACTTATTGATACTGTAGGGGTGCCTTGCACTTGCATGGAGGAGGACTGTGCCCTTCCTGTTGGTTGATCTTTAAGAATAGACAGGGTGGCAATTGCAGGTTGGGGACTGTTGTTGCCGGACTCCCTTGCTCTCCCCATGAAGCTGGCTAAATAGGTGAGAATGTTAAGAAGCTTAGAATGCTTATAGTGACTTTATTTTCTACAATTTTGTAGCTCTGCATATGCCTACACAACTATTGCAAATGCAATCTCTAGTTGCAGATGCTCTTCTTTACTTAATTGTTTGTATTCAGCATGAGTATAGCTTAAATCTACTACTAGTACTGTAGGTATGCTTGTGTCTTCTGTCTTTAGGGTTTAGGCTTTAATGCCATCACATAGGGATATAATGTAATCTCTCTATTTTTTATTATGTTCTCTTCTTTTATCAAACAAAAAATATATATATTCTTATGGTCTGTTGCAACCTGTATCTCTGTGCTTGTCTTTTCAACAATCTTCCCCAGGTTGGAATTCATCCTTCAGCAGCAGGAGTTTGTGGCCATGCGATCAGTTACAAGGCGTGTTTCAAAACCAACGACGAATCTGTAAGATATGAATTCATGAATTGTGGAAGAAAAAATATAGGTAAAAAATTGGTGGATGGCTATTTTCGGTCGGTATTCTCATTATAAATAGTTGTTCAATTACTGACTATTTCTCTAGAATTATTTTAGATGTAACAAGAAATTGTTTTAGTTGTTCTTTCATCTCAGTATCATATCATTTCGATTAGCTTGTCTTTCTAGTATTTGTAATGCATAATTATCCTAAATGAGCCCGCATTTCTCCATTTTCAAGACGTCAATCATTTATATGCTAGGAAGAAAGCAAGAGATCTGAAAATATAACCAAACATGACTAATATTGTTTTTACACAGAGAAGGAACATGGACCACGGTCTCATGATTAAAAGCAAAAAATCTGAAAATACAACCAAATAAAACAGAGAAATTGGGAGTACCAACAAACATAACCAAAGAACAAGCTAAATAATTTCAAAACTTGGAGGGGAAACTGCTCACTTAATTAGGTTCCAAAAACATGAACCAACTTGCTCTCCACTATGGCCAAGGCTTCATTTTTCTGTTAAAAATTCTTGGAACATATGTCGAAACAAAAATTTCAACGAGGGGAAACTGCAACCATACAAAAATTGCGACTGGAATGCTAGCCATAATAATTATTGCAATGATTGGCCACCATCGATCTTGAAGTATAATCAAAAGAGCAGCAGAAAAGCTAACCGTCATTGTCGCAATAGAAATAAAAAGAGTGGAGAGGCCGATGATCAACTTCCTGGGTAAGGACTCCAGAAAATCTTCTTGAGCGAAGCGCGATGTTAGGATTCCCAGAAACATTAAGACTGAAGTTGATGCAGCGAAGAAGGAAAGTGCATCAGATATTATAAATATCATAAATGATCTTCGCGGTAAAAAAAGGGGAAACCCGGTACTTTGATCGTTGCCACCTGGAAGAGTAAAAGCTGCAGCAAACAAGATGGTAACAATGAGAGTACCGACAATAAGAAAAGAACTTGCTGTGTCCTTCATGCATTTGGCCCCCCCTTTCACTAAATCCTTGTGGCTCTTTGAAAATACTTCATAAGGGGTTTCACCATTAAAATTTTTAGATTCTTTGCACCATTCTGGAACAATTCTTTCCACCTCCTGCATTCGGTTAACAAAAGTACACATTAATGTTTAAACAACAAATTAGGTTTCATTTTTGAAAAAAATAAATAAGTTACCCTTACTATATATATAAACTTTTGAGGTAAGCAAATAACACTTCATCTATAAGAGAAAATTAAAATAGTAATAATAATAATAATTTTAAAAAGCTAGTTGAGCAAGCAAGTGAGATGACGATAATAACCTTAAATCATTGTAATTCTCTTTGCATCTGCAACGCTGAATTAGAGATTCGAGCAAGTTGAAAGTCAGGAGCTATCTCCCCTGCCACATGTAACACGGTGTTCCCTCCTTCATCTGTCTTATTAAGAATTTGGGCTGTCCAGGCCTTATGAATGCCATATAGGAGGTTGAAAATGTTTTCTTGACGATATTGGATCGCAATCGTGAAAACGTTTCTTCCATCGTTATTACCGTAAGTGAGTGGTTGGGTGACTTTCAATAGCTCAATGACGAATTCAACGATGCCTTGCTTGGTAGCTTCAAACATCGCGTCAATCACTCCACATTTACCAAAATGTTGGGTTTTTAATGTTGAAATTTGGTTACACATAGAGCGAAGAATCTCAAGTGTGTAGAGTTGTGTCGACTTCATCACATAAATTTGTTTGATTTCTAAGTAAATTAAAAATCAATTAACATTACTATAAAAGGCATAAGAATAGAATAATAGAAATAGAAATGTTAAAACATTAAAAAATAAAGAAAGTAGAAATGCTAAAATACGTAAAAAATAAGTTTCATAATTGAGGGTGAGTTACTGAAGAAATTTAAGAGCAATAGGCTCAATCTACGAAGTCGATCAAATACTGCAAGAGTAAACCCCTGTTATTTTATTATACATGCTGACTTAAAACAACAATTATAAGTCCATTACCATGCATCATGCATTTATGTTAATTACATGAATTTAAAATTAAATGCATAAATTAATCTGCCAAGTTCAATATTCTTGTATTCTCAAACAAGGAAATGATATTTGAGAATGAAATCAAATTTTGGAAAGATTTTTATTTTATTTTTTTGTTTTAGGTGGTTAGGATGTCTTTAGATAAGATTTTGTACATTTCAAGAGTAAAATTTCGTTCGAAAATGTTTTTTTGATAGTTTAACTTTTTGGTTTTTTAGCTTCTTATAATTCTAACAATATATAAAATATAAAACGTTAATTAAAATAAAATTTAAATATATTAAATATATTATATATAATCACCGCTACAATCCAAGACTTATAAAACGAAGGCTATTCCTTCTCCAAAAGATCATAAGAACGTATCTTCACATTAAGTTAAGATATTTAAAAAAATTAATTTTTTTAAGTAATGGTACAAGACTTAAAACCTTGAACCCACCTTACAATACAATAATTATTACCAGTTGATCTAATTTTTTTTTTTAAGATATTACGTTACCCAATCATTGTAATTAACTTGGATTCATGCCAATACCTTGTATTCTGATATTCTTTTCTTTGTGGTCTTGCT